TGGTTTTTTCGAGACAGGGTTTCTCTGTGTAGCTTTGCGCCTTTCCTGGAGCTCACTTGGTAGCCCAGGCTGGCCTCGAACTCACAAAGATCCGCCTGGCTCTGCCTCCCGAGTGCTGGGATTAAAGGCCTGAGCCACCACCGCCCGGCTTAGAATCCAATTTAAGAAGAGCTGGGCATGATAGCATATGCCTGTAATTCTAGCACTTGGAAGGTAGAGGCCAGATGATCATGAATTGAAGGTTTCATCTCCAGCCATATAGCAAGTTCAAACCCACAAACTAACCAACCAATTAACCAGCCAAACGTAAAAGTAAAGAATGACTGTTAATTGGAAAGTAAAGAACGTACGATCATCATCTGTCTAAGTTATTAAGAACAGACTAATGGCACAAAGAAAGGAGAATGGGGAGATTGTGATTCACGGCTACTCACAGAACTTCTCCATCCGGGTATTGTCAGAAACAGCTGAAAAAATGGCACGTTCCAAACTGCCCCAGTATCACTCCTTCCTCCTCATCCTTTCCTTTAAAACATGTTCCTCTACATGAATTCTTTCTCTTGGGTGGTGGCAGGATCATGGACACAATCAGAAGCCTGGGAATCACCATACATCTTACCCTCTCCGTCATCCCCGGTAGCTATCTACTCACTAACTCCTGTGACTCTATTTTCTTCATACCTCTTGAGTCACCTTTCCCTTGGTTCAAGAACCCTCGGTATCAGAGAGAGCTCCATGTGAAGTATTAGGAAGACCACCATTACTACCTTTCTTAAGTTCCGTCCATGGCCTCCCTGTTCCCACTGCAAAACATGTATACTATAGAGCCCTCCCTGACACAGCCCCCAGTGCTCTGTGATTTCATCTCTCACTACCCTTAATCCCACTTCGGAAGTGACAACGTTGCTGTTGAACCTGCAGTGCCTAGTCCAGTGCTGGATAGACAGAAGACACACAGCTAAATGCTTGTGGAGTGGCAGAAAAATTAAGACTATATCATCATATAGCACAGATGTAAAATGGGTCTCCTCTGCTGAGGAGGGACACAGGCAAATTCAAACCTTCTAGCCATTTCAGGTCAGCTATAGATGAATAAATGAAAAACTGCCTTAGCCTCACAAAGAAATAGAAAAAAAAAAGGTAGTATTAATGGGATATTTTAAAAGAATTTCTAAAAAGGTTTTATCTCAAAGTATTTAAGGGCTCTGTTTTCATTTAAGATGGCTTTTTAAAACACAAGCTATGTTTCTACTCAGAGTTTGCTTACATTTGGCTGTTTTAATAAAGGCATATTTTAGGATACAATGAGGAAATGCATGGTTATAAATCCGGGGAAGAGGCAGACAGAAGAGACACTATTTGAATCCTAATGGCTTCCTGACTAGATGGTCCCTGAAGCTGAAGTGTTCTACTGCCATCTGGTGGCCCAACCAGAAAATTGCCCCCAAAAGGTTTTTAAAGAATAAAATTAAATAAACATAAGTTCTGTACAATGAAAGCAGGCAAGTGGCTGCCAGTGTCACAGGCTGCCATTTTCTTGCAGGAATCTTACTTCTTGTTATTGCCTTACAGTCAAACCTTCCAAGCCCCTTTGTACCATCCAAGGAAGACCAGAAGCAGGCTACCCTATTTCCTTGTCTTGCTTTTCTGCCTTTGGAACACCATCTCCTGTGTATTACTGGTATAAGATTGAGGGAAACACCATTGTGCCAGTAAAAGAAAGTTTCAGTGAGTATTGCCTTCCATAACTGCTGGCTTGGCCTGGTGATTGGGTCACTTAACAGTATGTGATGCTGGATGCCTGTCTGAAGCTCTCAAGCATCTTTCCTTGATGTCAGTGTGTGTATGTGTGTATGTGGAGTGGACGTGTGCTTAAAATGATAGCCATCTGCTAACATGATGATTGTGATGTGTCTGCTTCCCAGAGTCTAGAATTCAGCGGAGAGGTGGTGAATATGGCGGGTCTTTGGTGGGCTACTTGTAGAGCATCGCAAGAGACCTAGTTGGATCCTATTCCTCTCAAGAGAGGCCATTGTAAGAAAGCAGGTGGGCTTTAAACAGTGCAAACTGACATGACGAGATCTTAATGATCTGTTTCCTGATTTTGACAGACTCGGCCACTGGAGTTTTGGTTATCGGAAATCTGACAAATTTTGAACAAGGTTATTACCAGTGTACTGCCATAAACAGTCTTGGCAATAGTTCCTGTGAAATTGACTTAACCTCTTCACGTGAGTTGACCATACGGCTTTCATACTTTACCCATCGGCTTTCATACTTTACCCTTCAGTTAAGTAGCCTGGGTCTACCAGTTGAACAGATTTATTAGGATCTCTCTTTAGTCCTTCCTGCCTCTGGAGATTCCTGAGCTTTACTGGTAAGTTGATATAATGAATCCAAATCTCTCATTTTTACATAATAATCTCTTCCCCAAATTGTTCGCCAAGTAGTTTATTTAAGCACCACACAAACATTAGAAAGTAGGTATTAGTCTCTGACAAATCAAAACAACAGTATTATTAACAGTCTAGGATGCTCTTTCTCCTGCAGTTGATAAATGCAGCTAGCCCCTCAGCTATCTTTTTCAAATATACAACTTACAGACTTCCTGCTTCTTGACTGCCTTATTAAGATCGGCCTCTAGAAACCACAGGGAGACACTTCAAGATAAGACACAGGCAGGACTTTCTGACAAGGACTTTGATAGACCAGGAAATAATAGCAAGAGCTGATAAATGAGCTTGCTCTTTCATGAAATTTAAAAGCTTTTGCACAGCAAAGAAAACAACAAACTGAATGAAGAGGTAACCTAGAGAATGGAAGGCAGTCCTTTACAGCCACTTGGCCAACAGAGGATTGACACTCAGAATAGATAAAGAACTGAAAAACAATTAAATATGAATAATCTAATCAATTAATCAATAAATAGGCAGATGTTTTGTACAGACAGGTCTCAGAAGAATTACAAACAGGCAACAAGTATATGAAAAAAAATGCTCAGTGTTTTTCACCATCATGGAAATGTCATCAGAATTACGGTGAACTTCCATTTCACCCCAGTCATATGACCGTCATCAAGAAATCAAAGAACAAATATGGGCAAAGATACACAGGAAAAGGAACCGTTATATGCTGATGGTGGGAATGTGAACTAGAGAAACCACAATGGAAGTCGGCATGGAGGTTCCTCAAGAAACTAAAAATAGAATTGCCGTATGACTCAGCTGTATCACTTCTGGGTCTATAACTAAAAGAATTCAACTCAGCATGCCACAGAGATAGTGGGATAAACATGTTTGTTTCAGTGTTCCAGACTCATAGATTGCTATCACCTAATGAATGAGTTTTATTCAGCCATAAATAAACACTCCAGTTCAGTAGCATTTTTTTTTGTTTGCAGGAAAAGGGAAGTGAGAATTACCATATCGAGCGAAATAAGCCAGATCCAGAGAGACAAATATCACAAGTTTTTCTTTCATAGGCAGAACCTAGATTTGTTAAGAAAACATGAAAGTTGGACAGGGCTGTTTAGGGAAGAGAAAGGGACCAGTAGGAGAAGAATGGAAGTGGAATGAGAGAAAGTAACAGGGATGTGGATATGATCCAAATTACACGTATACATTCAGGAAAACATATTGATACCCATAATTCAATGTCTATGTTCTAATGAGAAATAAAACCAAAAGTTTAAAGACAAAAATCTGCCTATAGTAATAACCAGGCAGTCTCATCTACAATCACAATACCTAATGATTACTGTTATTACTATTAGTATTAAATTATTTCCCAGACACTTGGCCAGGTGCTACATGAGTAATATCTCCCTCGACCATCCCTACTACCCTGTTTATGGAGGCAGAATAAATATATTGTAGGTCTTGTTTTCTTGGAGGGGACACTGAAGCTCAGGGAGGTAAATGACTTGCCTGCTCAAGTTCATCCAGTTACTAACTTGCACAGCTGGGATGCCTCTAAATCCCAATCTTCCCGTTGAAAGGCAGTTATTTGCTCTCTGAGATTTATATTTAGGAGCCTTGGGATTGACAGATTAGACCAATCCTGGGACAAGCCCTCATGAGGGATGTCTTGCCAAACCTCATAGGGACCGACCACTTGACAATACTTAGAGCCATGTTATCTGCCCTCCATTCCCATCACTTTCAGCTCTTTCCTGTGGCTGTCTCTGTGTTGCCTTTCTTATTTCTCAATTTTGTTGTCTGCTCAGGGAGAGATAGACTCACACTGCAGATGTTCAGCCAGGTAAGGTTAGTACTCACATCTTCTTTCCAACCATCTCCAGCATTTTCCTGGCTTTCCTCCCTCCTTCCCGCCCTCTCCTCTTCCTTCTTGCCTCCTTTCCTTTCTTTGCCCTCCTGTCCTCTTCCTAAGTCACCCATTGGATATCAACTGTGGATCATCATAAGTGATGCAGGGACAGAAGTTAAGAAGAAATATGCCTTTCACTCACGGAGCTCCCCATTTAGCTAGAGGGCCAAACCATGACTGCATGCGCTAAATGCTACATTATAGATCTACACAGGTATAGACACCCAAAAGAGGAACACTTGCGGTTACAGATAAGAGGAACACTTATGGGTACAGATCTGGAGCAGCTGGGCTGACCAAGTACTATTTGAGCTGGCACTTGAAGGCACTAGCAAAGGCTATTGTTTCTGTCAAATGGAGAGGCTGGATGGGGAACAAAAGCAGAGCAGCAGCTGTAGAAAGACAATTGGCTCGTGGTGAAGGAAGAGGAGGGAGAGCCACAGAAAATATCACCCAGAAATGGAACCACAATAAAGAGAGAGCTGCCGTGTTTGAGTCTATTGAAAGGAATTTATTATTTCCTCCCAATTTCAAAACTAGTGATAATGTATGAAAAACTAAACAAACCCCCAAATGAGGCAGCTAATAACCTTTGGGAAAACATTTTTAAAATGCTGTACAGCAGAGAATCATAGTATGGATGTTTCTGAGTTGTGAGCAGTATTTAATTTTCATACGTTTAATATTTAATTAAAAATAGCACTATAATTGTATTCGGAGAGTGAGGTGGGAGATGAGGAGTGCTCGGAAATTCAGAAAGGACTAATGAACATGGGGAAAGGGAGGGCCATCTAAGAGCAAGCATAATAAAAATATGGAGGCAGGAGCACTTTTGGAAACATCCCAACAGTCCCACCCAAACGAGTGGGTCAAGAGAATGCTGTTTTGGTAAAAGTTTAGAATTATTTAATTGTTAAAGTTATTCACATGTGTTTTGTTTAATTTCATTGTTTTATATTGTAGTCCTTTTCACTCCGCCCATCCCCCTCTCGCACTCGCCTGTTGCCCACTAGAACCCATTTCTCAACAAGTCCCCTCCTCCTTTCATGTCTTCTTTTTATGTGTAGCCTGCTGGCTTTAGACTTTCTTGCCTAAGCATCGGTGGGAGATGATTTGCTGGAGAGAGGTCCGTTTATCAACGGCTACACCACTGAAGAAAATGGCATTCCTTCCTCCAGCAGCTGCTGATAGCCAGTGGTCTCTCAGAGAGGGGTTGAACCTCATGGGTCCTTCAGTCATCCATGACGAAATGTTAAAGGGCCCCCATATTGTGCAGACAGTCACAGCTGTGATGAGTTCATGAGTGCCGCAGCTGTGCCATACCCAGAAGACATCTTTCGACTGCCTCTCCCCCCTTCCTCTGGCTCTTACACTCTTTCCATCCCCGCTTCTACAGTGTTCCCAGAGCCTAAGTGATATAGCTGAGTTGTCCTAGTTAGGGTGTTTTTGAGACAAGTTCTTTCCATGTATATAGCCCAGGCTGGTCTCAAACTCCTGATTTTTCTGCCTCAGCCTTTTGAGTGCTAGGATCACAGACATGCACTGCTTTGCCCAGCTACATGGATTTCTTCAATCATAAAAATGTGAAGGACTTATTATATAAACTTAGTTTCTCTTTTCAAAATATAAACTGTTGATCCTTGTTTAAGGGGCAATAGATGGGTATGGGCTGGCTTATGACCCAGACATGTTCTGTCAGGGAAGACACTTCCAGACTTGGAGGTCTGGTGCTCAGCTGGATTGTCTCACACTCATTCAATTTTTCCATAGACTGATGTAATAAACCAGATGCCTGTTTATCCAGATGGCCATATCCTTTCCCAGTGGCTAGAATGCAGGCATCTCTTTCATGAGCAAGGAGTGTGTGGAGAAACTTTTTTATTTCACTTAGGTCCTAGGAAAGCTGATGAAATGTCCTTGCCTGTAATGGAGCATGTTTCTGGCTTCCAGATTGCCATGGCATGTCTCTGGCCACATAAATGCACACTGAAAATTTTATTCCCTAAATACTTCTTTAAAAACAAACTTGCCCGCCAAGTGCCCATATTTTTCTTCACTTGTATACATGTCAGCATTAAGCTACACAGCCAAGGGCCTCATACTTTTCATCCATCAGGATCTAACTAGCAGAATTCTGGGGGTTTCTACCCCCTCCACCTAGACCTGCCACTTTCTTGCTTTGTGAGTCTTCTGGATCGTTTTCACTAGTCTCAAACGCATGCATATGAGAAGAAAATGTGTTCTGATTTACCCGCTATCTGTCTGTGTCCTTCAGATCCAGAAGTTGGAATCATCATTGGGGCCTTGATTGGTGCCCTGATAGGTGCTGCTGTCATCATCTCGGTGGTGTACATTGCAAGGAACAAAGTGAAATCACAGCAAAGGAAGAGGGACTTAACCCCCAGCACGGAACTTGAGTAAGCCTTTAGTGACCTACATTCACATTGCCACTGCTGTCTTTACTTGAATACAAACACTCCTTGGAAGTAACTTTCAATCACCCTTCTCTCCCTCAGCACTCCTTCCGCATAACATAGCAAGGCGAACATTCTGCTTGCTCTCACTGCTTTTTCATGAGTGAGCCCTGTGTTCTGGACTCTGTTTTAAGCATTTATATCGACGAATTTAATCATCACAAAAGTCCTTTTAGGTCAGGGACAAAATGTTTTAAGATATAATATTAACATATTTATCTTCATACGGACATGACTGTAAACATAATCATGAATGTTTTTTTTTCAGTTCCTTTATTTTTAAATTAATTTGTGATGGCCCCTCTGGGGGAAAAAAAACAAGCATGTTTTGATGTAACGGGCAACCTATGAAGGCAAAAGTAGATAGGGCCCAGGGAAATCAGAATTTGGTTAGACCATGGCCTGGGCTCTTAGCCATACTGCAGTCTCTTCTGCAGTGTAGATGATGCTCATTCACTTGCTCACCCTTCCCTCTTCTTTTTACATTCATTTTTTTTGAGATTATAATTACATTTTCTCTTTCCCTTTCTTCCATCCAAATTTTCCTATGTCCTCCTCCTTCCTGCTCTCTTTCAAATTCACAGCTTCTTTTTTTTTTATTAATTGAAATTAATGAAACAGTAGCAAAGTTAGTTATGAAGGAGCAACCAAAATAATCTTATGGTTGGGGTCCCCACAACATGAGGAACTGTATTAAAGGGTCACAGCATCAGGAAGAGTGAGAAGCACTGGATTAGGGCCTATTTGTCACTAAAGCTCTACTGTATAGTGTCATGTGAAATTTCCAAGTTTGAAGTTCCCTAATGTTTTTCTGGTAATCCTTTCTTATAGACCAATTGTATTTAGGGATATATATGTTTATCATTAATAATGTACATATGTATCCCTAAATACAACTTGCTCAGTATGTATTATGTTACCCGTGTGCCCGTTTTTGTGACTGACCACTTGGTATTGGATAATGAATTGATGTATCCTTCCCTGAATTTAATTTAATTTAATTTTTTATATTTAATTGATTTAATTAATTTAATCTAATTGATTCCACAAATAAGTTTTCTATACCAATCAGGAGCCAAGTCTTGTACTAAGGAGTTGGAGACACAGATGCAACTGAGCCATGGCTTTGACCCTCAAATATCTTATCAGCGTCTCAGATTCTTTATATCAGTTTTCCACCTTTTAAATGCTGGTGTGTCTTTCTTGGACTTTCATATTGTTGAAATCTAAATGTTCTAAACTCCAAAACAGCACACATGGGCTGACAGCAAGTCAAAATATCAGAATGAACAGATGGCCTAAATTATTGGTTCTCAACCTATGGGTCACAACCCCTTTGAGGGTTGCATATCAGATATTTACATTACAATTCGTAACAGTAGCAAAGTTACAGTTATAAAGTAGCAATGAAAATAATGTTATGGTTGGGGTCCCCACAACATGAGGAACTGTATTAAAGGGTCACAGCATCAGGAAAGGTGAGAACCACTGGATTAGGGCCTATTTGTCTCTAAAGCTCTACTGTATAGTGTCATGTGAAATTTCCAAGTTTGAAGTTCCCTAATGTTTTTCTGGTAATCCTTTCTTATAGACCAATGACAAAGGCAAGCCATTCCCGAGACAATGAAACGATTCCAGCTGAAAACATCCAGCTAGAAGCAACTCTGCCATCTTCCATCCATGATACCCACAACACCGAACCTGCTACCACCATCGTAGAGCCAGAATATGAGCCTAACCCCCCGCTTGAAAGTAACACACAGCCTGATCCTGAACCAGAGCCTATGCCTGTGTCTGAGATGGAGATCCAGCTAGAGCCGGAGCTGGAGGTGGAGCTGGAGACAGAGACAGAGCCTGAGATCGAGCCTGAGCTCGAGCCTCAGTCTGGAATTATAGTTGAGCCTCTGCGTGATGAGGAAAAAAATCCAGTTAAGGCATAGGCGTAGATAGGTATGGCCTTAAGTGTGGCAGTTCTTACTTAGGAACCTATTCCTGGCTTTTAAAATTCGGTGGACTTAACCAGCCTCCAGTTTGTCCTTCCATCATGGACAACCCTCATCTAACAACATTGCTCATACTCACCATTAATCCAAAATAATAAAGGCAACTACTAAAGAAATGTACAGGTTTCTTTGTTCTTAGTATAGATTACTTAAAACTGTACTAATACGTAAATATAACAAATGACAAGGCCGGGATGAGTGGTTCATTTCTAATTCAGTTGGAAAAGCATTTGCAAAAGTATGTTCTGTATTTTGTAGTCACTCTTTTTCATGGCTCACATGTGCACACAATAAGATAGAGTTCATTTGAATATTAATTTTAGGATTAGTTGTCTTCCCTGTTCATTTTTTATATTTACCACTAAGGAAACAATATGACACCATTGGCTCGGAAATTAGGAAAAAAACATTTCCCCAAAATAAGAGGGTATGTATCAATTGGTATATACAATTTAAAACTAAGTTTTACAATTTATCGTATTAAATCTTTATTAAATCACTTCAGTGTCAAACACTTGAGCATAGCAATTTTTTATAACTTATTTTTTTCACTGCCAAGTGGTGTACAGACAAACAATTCAGAATAAACTTTTTCTTGGTGAACATAAAGTGTTGGAGGCAATTTTGAATATGCCTTTGAATAAGCTATTATGTTATCACTGTCGGATGCTATCCATTTTGGCAGTAGGCTAGGATGGTGTTCTCAGTGAACACAGTCTATTTTAGATAATCTAAACTGGCGATTTAAATAATCTGTTTTATTGTTTCTGTAGTCCATGTTAAGAGAAGAATCACTCTTATAAATGATAAACAATAAGTAAATGCTTTGATAAAATCCTTTCTTCACTTTCCAAAAGCTTTTCCATAATCATATTTCACTGACACCTCACTCTGAAGAAATTTACAGGTAGATTTACTTTTTTACTTGTGTAATCAATCATATCTGAAATATTATTTTAAGGCTCAATAAATAATATGCAATCAAATCTTATTTAGTGATTACTAAGATTCTTTTTAAATAACTATTGTATAATTTATGTACTATAAGCTGTACCCATTTTAACTGTACAGTTTGGTGAGTTTTGACAGTTGTACACACTCATGGAACCCCCATATCTATGCAGAACATTTCCACCAGCCCCAAATGTTTTCTCATGTCCTCTTTAATAATTCCACTGTGCCCTGGACCTAGATGACCACTGGTCTGCTTTGATCTCTTAAAGTTAGCTTTTCTTTTCCCTGACCTTTATATGAATGGTATCATATAGTATGTACTTTTATATCTGAATATTTTATCAACTAAAAACTTTTCAGTGGATCTCCATCACATGTAGGATTTATGTAAAGGATTCTCTTGACTAAACTATCTATCTATCTATCTATCTATCTATCTATCTATCTATCTATCTATCTATCTATCATCTGTCTATCTATCTATCTATCTATCTATCTATCTATCTATCTATCTATCTATCTATCTATCTATCATCTATCTATATCTATCTATCTATTTATCTATATCTATCTATCTATCTATCTATCTATCTATCTATCTATCTATCTATCTAATGCCCATTTATCAATTGAGATAGACATTACATACCTTTTAAGGTGAAGTAAACTAATGTTTATTACTTGTGCCACGTCATGAAAAGAGACAGCAAGCTTTACTTGTGTATTTTCTTTGATGTGTCAATTAGTAGCTACTCTTGGGGATTTCTGAAGCACCAATGTTTCCGTTAACAGGTGAAATAGAATGCAATGCTATAATATAAAGTGCCTGATGGGTATAGGACGAAAACTGCTGAAGGTCCTGAGAATGACCTAAATTTTAGTTAGTGTAAATTAAATACCAAAATTACCAAAATGGCTAAGTAGCTGAAATTTATTTTTCTATTTCTTGCCCATTTCTATTATGGAGTAAATCACAGGAAAAGAGATTGGCCTATAATAGTCAATAACCGTAGGGCCAAATTTCTGATGGATCAGTGTTGACTAGGAAGGATGCCACCGTTGGTGGTTTTAAATAGTCCTGTACTTACTAGAACAGTTCCATCTGAATACTGATGAATAGTTGATTAATGATTTTTTCACATTTTTGAGATTACAGATCACCTTGTGAGTCTGATAAAGACTATGGACCCCTAGCCTTTGAAAATGCTTATACACATAAGATGTCACATACAGTTGATTTATGTTTTTAATACAGTATTTTAATATTTTGGGAATTCATAGAATATGAAATATATTTTGATAATGTTCACCCCTTTTTCCTCCCCCAAATGCTTCCCAGATCCACCCTCATCTCCCCTCTCCTAACTTAATATGTCTTAAAAAAATCACAAAGTTCAATTTGTGCTGTCTATATACTCCTGGGTGTGAGGCCATCTATTGGAGTATGGTCAACCTACTAGAGGCTACACCCTTAAAACTAAATCTCCCTCTCCCAGAATCCATCAACTGAAGGTCTTCAGTTAAAGATGGGGGCTCATGAGCCCATTTCCCCTTTATGCTAGAATGCTGACTGATTTCAGAATTGCTCTTGCACAGGTCTTGTGCAGGTAATCATAGCTGTTGCATGTAGGTAACCATAGCTGTTGCATGTAGGTAACCATAGCTGTTGCATGTTCATGAATGCAGTGGTCTTATCATATCCAGAGGATACAGTTTCACTCCAGGCTTTCCTGACCTCTGGCTCTTAAAATCTTTCTGTTCCCCTCTTCTAATATGGTCTCTAAGCCCTGGTATGGGTGATATGGACATCCCATTTGTAGTGAGCATTCCTGCCCTCTTATTAGTTGTGTGCTTCTGCATTAGCCTCATTTCACAAAGAAACTTCTCTGATGAGGTATAGGAGCTGCACTAATCTGTGGGTAGACAGATACATATTTAGAAGGAAATTTGATATTATATCCACTTAGTAAAATACTAGTAGTAGATCTACCCCTGGAGGGGGTCCTTGTCAGTACCAATTTCATTTCTCCATGTCCTCTGACTAAAGTGTTATGGTATCGTCAACAATAACCATTGAGTTCTCATTGGCAGCCAAGATCAGGGTGTCACATAGAGTTTTAATAGTCTTATAGAATCCATGAGCCCAAATATTGACAGTTAACTTTAATATCAACACAGAAGGCACAATGAGTAAATTTGTGGATGATTTTCTCCTGGGGGATTTGAATGCCTATTGTGCTGTATGACAAAACTGATTCAAAATGATTTTGGTGGCTTGGAAAGTCATTGAAGTCAACAAAGGAATTATACAGTAGTATAAGGAAAAGCCAGAATTTTAAAATACAGAGTACATGTTGTCCATGTGAAAACCCTGGCATTTCAGTCTTCCCTGTCAGTTATCTTCCTGGCCTTTGTGGAACTGTGAGTATCCATACTCCTGTTAGTTTAGGGAACTTCTTGGGTGCTAATGCCTTAGGCAAGATTCAGCTCTCAGGAATTACATCCTTCCTTACCACCTTTTCAGTTGGGGTTTCTCTGTAATTCTTCTTGTCTGATGAACATGAAATTTCATTATCCAGTGATTGAATTCAGGTTGATGAATAAGTTAATCATCTCAAGAAGTATTTGCTTTTTTTAAGAAGTAGAAACCAGAGAAGGAAGATGTATTCAATGTAGCTACTTTGAGAATCGAGACAAAGAAATCTAGCAAATCCCCCAGGTTTGTCTCTCTAGGGTCTTGAAGTGAAGTGAAAATTTTAATGAAGGAACACACACCTTAAATATACACATATACACATTTAAGCATTCTGTATCAAGGTGTGCTCTTGTCTATGATTGGCTCATCACTGGACTTTAGTCTCATCCTGTAAGGTGTTCTGCTATATTGTTAGAACCATATGAAATCTCTTTCTGGGAGAAATACTCTCCCTCTGGCTGGACCCTTTTCCTTCCTTCCTACAACATAAGATTCCTGGGAAAATTCCCAGAAATGTCTTTGGTGTCCATTGCTTCAATAGTTTGATAGACACAAGTGTCTATCAGGTTGAGAGACACAAGTGTCTCTAAGAATACATTTATTTCTGTTAGGCTGGTTATAATTCCCCACTCTCTGCCTTAATATGTCCACCTTGAGGTGGAATATGTCTGTGTCTGAAACAAAATAAACTAAGTACGGACCAAGGTTAGAACACTTGTTAATGCTAGGTAGCCATACATAAAAAGCAATTTTCATAACCTCTTTACATTTAGTTATTTTTGAAAGGGCTGGCATAAGCAGCTCGAGTTTGTTGATTTGAGATAGGGTCTCATCATGGGTTGGCCTTAAATTTATAGTCCTCCTCTTTCAGCTTTCTAAATTCTGGGATTACAGGCAAGTGCTGCCATGCCCACTGAGACTTTACTTTAGCTCTCTCAACTTCTGCCATTGTCTCTGAACAAAATTATCTGAAGACACTCCTAATTAACCAACTACTGGTTTGCTCTCCATAGTCCCATGATTTCAGGGAGAGATTTGTCCTGGTTGGACTGATTTGATCCCACATTAGGGGAGTAAATGACAGGTGTCAAGGACTTAGTGCCAATAATCCCTCTAAGCCCAATTTAAGGAACTGGGGTATAGATGAAGTGTCTTAGGTCAGGCATCCCTGAAATCCATTCTGCTACTCCTGTAGGTAACGTCCTAGCATCTCAACTGTGCTGTTTATGGTCCTTAGTAGAGTGTTAGAAGACAGTTGTAAGGCTCTACAGAAACAGCTAGAAGTAAAGCACTGGAGTCAGCTAGAAGGCTTTATAGAAACAAGAGGCAAACTTGACAATTAAGTAACCAGGCATGTATTTACAAATAATTGATAGCTATCAATCTTTAAGAGGCATCTACACATGGAACCTGCAACAATTAGCACCATGACACAGAGCTATACAACAACTACTTCTAAAGAAACATTTAGAGTCTGTTCTAGTAGAATAAGTTTGTAGCAATGACAACCAAAAATTTTAATCTCTTAGTAAACTGAGGAAACAGTGCTTCTTATTAAGCACAGATTATGTACAAGTATATTTTATATATACAATAACAAGTACTTATTTTGTCAGAGTAAACAAGTATATGCCCACATTTTAATTAGCAAGATTGTCTGGATGACAATTTTTGATATCTTCATAA